TCTCAGCCCCAAACCTCCTGAAACTGATAAGCAAGTTCAGCAAAGTCTCAGGATACAAAATCAATGTGCAAAAATCACATGCATTCCTATACACCAGTAACAGACTTAAAGAGAGCCAAATCAAGAACAAACTTCCATTCACAATTGCCACAAAGAGAATAAAATACCTAGGAATACAACTAACAAGGAATGTAAAGGACCTCTTCAAGGAGAACTACAAGCCACTGCTCAACGAAATAAGAGAGGACACAAACAGATGGAGAAACATCCCATGTTCATGGTTAGGAAGAATCAATATCGTGAAAATGGCCATACTGCCCAAAGTAATTTACAGATTCAATGCTATCCCCATCAAGCTACCAATGACCTTCTTTGCAGAACTGGAAAAAAACACCTTAAACTTCATATGGAACCAAAAGAGAGCCCGCATAGCCAAGTCAATTCTAAGCAAAAAGAACAAAGCGGGGGGCATCACACTACCAGACTTCAAACTATACTACAAGGCTACAGTAATCAAAACAGCATGGTACTGGTACCAAAACAGAGATATAGACCAATGGAACAGTACAGAGGTCTCGGAGGCAACACAACATATCTACAACCATCTGATCTTTGACAAACCAGACAAAAACAAGCAATGGGGAAAGGATTCCCTGTTCAATAAATGGTGTTGGGAAAGCTGGCTAGCCATGTGCAGAAAGCAGAAACTGGACCCCTTCCTGACACCTTACACGAAAATTAACTCCAGATGGATTAAAGACTTAAACATAAGACCTAACACCATAAAAACCCTAGAAGAAAATCTAGGCAAAACCATTCAGGACGTAGGTGTAGGCAAGGACTTCATGACCAAAACGCCAAACGCATTGACAACAAAAGCCAAAATAGACAAATGGGACCTAATCAAACTCCACAGCTTCTGCACAGCAAAAGAAACAATCATTAGAGTGAATCGGCAACCAACAGATTGGGAAAAAATTTTTGCAGTTTACCCATCTGACAAAGGGCTGATATCCGTAATTTACAAAGAACTAAAGCAGATTTACAAGAAAAAAACTAACAAGCCCATTCAAAAGTGGGCAAAGGATATGAACAGACACTTCTCAAAAGAAGACATACGTGAGGCCAACAAACATATGAAAAAATGCTCATCATCACTGGTCATCAGAGAAATGCAAATCAAAACTACACTGAGATACCATCTCATGCCGGTTAGAATGGCAATCATTAAAAAATCTGGAGACAACAGATGCTGGAGAGGATGTGGAGAAATAGGAACACTTTTGCACTGTTGGTGGGAGTGTAAATTAGTGCAACCATTGTGGAAGACAGTGTGGCGATTCCTCAAGGACCTAGAAATAGAAATTCCATTTGACCCAGCAATCCCATTACTGGGTATATATCCAAAGGATTACAAATCGTTCTACTATAAGGACACGTGTACACGAATGTTCATTGCAGCACTGTTTACAATAGCAAAGACCTGGAACCAACCCAAATGCCCATCGACGATAGACTGGATAGGGAAAATGTGGCACATATACACCATGGAATATTATGCAGCCATCAAAAACGATGAGTTTGGGTCCTTTGTAGGGACATGGATGAACCTGGAAACCATCATTCTCAGCAAACTGACAGAAGAGCAGAAGATCAAACACCGCATGTTCTCACTCATAGGCGGGTGTTGAACAATGAGAACACATGGACACAGGGAGGGGAGCACTACACACTGGGGTCAGTTGGGGGGAAATAGGGGAGGGACGGTGGGGGGTGGGAAGCTGGGGAGAGATAGCAAGGGGAGAAATGCCAGATGTAAGTGATGGGGAGGAAGACAGTGAATCACACTGCCACGTGTGTTCCTATGCAACAATTTTGCATGTTCTTCACATGTACCCCAAAATGTAAAATGCAATAAAATAAATAAATGGGAAAAAAATAAAAAATAAAAAATAATCAGTGAACATAATGAGAAGGATTGACACTAACAAATGTGGGCAAAGACATGTTACAGCTGGAACTCTCATACACTGCTGGCATGATCACAACCCAGCACACTTCAGAATACTCTTTGACATTATCTAGTAATATTAGATGCTCAGACTCTATAACCCAGTAAATCAATCAAATCAATCAATCATAATATATAGCAATATATATAATACCCTATGTTATACCCTATGACCCACTTCTAAGTCTATATCCAACAGATGCACATACACGTACCCCAGGAGACAAATTCATAGCACACTATTCACAAATACTAAAATTAGGAAATAATGCAAATGACCATCGATGGTAGAACAAAACAATATGTTATTCCCACAAAATGGAATACCATCAATGAAAAGGCATGAGTGATAATTTCACACAGCAACCTGACAAGTCTTACAAATATGAGGTTGAGAAAAAGAAACCAGACAAAATAATATATGCTTTACAAATACATAAAATTCACAAACGTGTAAAACAAGACTATAGTGTTTAGGCTGGTGCTTAGGTGGTAAAACTCTGAAGAAAAGCAAGAAAGTGGTTACTTTAGAATTAATGACAATGGTGGTCTTTTAGGGAAATAAGGGAGTATGAATCCCTCCTGATGGAGGCATTCAGAGGAGCTTTAGGGGGGCTGACACACTACAAATTTACCATTTTAAAAGATTTTCCCTATGATAATTCATTAAGTTCTATATTTCTTTTCTGTGATTTTCTATTTGTGTATTTTACTTCATAAAAAGATAATTAAAAGGCTAACAGAGGCCGGGTGCAGTGGCTCACGCCTGTAATCCCAGCACCCTGGGAGGCCGAGGCAGGTGGATCATGAGGTCAGGAGATTGAGACCATCCTGGCCAACATGGTGAAAATCCATCTCTACTAAAAATACAAAAATTAACTGGGCATGGTGGTGCATGACTGTAATCCCAGCTACTCTGGAGGCTGAGGCAGAAGAATCACTTGAACCAGGGAGTTGGAGGTTGCAGTGAGCCAAGATTGCGTCATGCACCGCTGCACTCCAGCCTGGGCGACACAGCAAGACTCCGTCTCAAAAAAAAAAAAAAAAAATGGCTAACAGAGGGACCAAACACCCAAACAACATGAATTAGTCTTTTTGGGGAAAACAGCCCCAAATGCCTGTCACAAACCCTGAAATCACTGCATCACTGTATATTTATGACAATGACTGTGACTCAAGAAGAAAATATTAAGTTAGTACCATACTGGCAGCTGGACCAGGCAAAAAAAAAAAAAACAAGAAATGCATACATAACAGGAAAAAGGAAAGTTACAAAGGTTGCAGCAGCTTTGGCTGAAAGAGAACTAGTGCTCAAATTAGCGGTTGGGTATAGGTTCAACTTCTCTCCTTTCAGAATTCTTCCTCGCTCTCTCACTTTCAATTATCTTTTTATTGACAATCCTTGTAGCCACTGATTAGCACCCAGCCTCTCATGAGAGATGTGAGTGGAAATGTCATCTTCCTGCATAGCCATCTGGAATGTTACTGAAATATTTCCGTTTACATCAAATATTTATATTTATGTCATTAAATAAGCAAATGCACTAAACAGGCCATTATTAATACCATCAATATTTGTTTTTACTACCCTGAATTCTGATGCTTTTCCCACAGTAAGCTCTCTAGATGTCGTCTTAGGGTGGAACACTCTTTCTTGACCTCCAGCCACCTACTTTGAATGAAGCTGACTTCATTCTTAGCTTCAGGAATGGAGCAGGGGGGCTGGGTAGTTCAGTGATGACCTAAATCAGGCCAATCAGGGCAAGCAAGACTCAATTCTAGGGCTTCATCTGAGGAGCCAGTGAACTGGATATGCTCTTTGTGAATGTGAAAAGAAAAGGATTAGGAAAGGGAGCAGCTGCAGCCGTCTTGCCACCATATGAAGCCTAGGAATGGTAGAATCCAATACATCACAGTGGTTTAGGGCAAAGGTTGGTCAATTCTTCTTATAAAGGGGCAGATAGTAAATACTTTAAGCTTTGTGGGTAATATGTGTGTGTCCCCATCCGAATCTCATGTCAAATTGTAATTCCCAGTGTCGGGGGACAGACCTGGTGGGAGGTGATTGGATCATGGGAGCTAATTTCCCCCTGGCTGTTCTTGTGATAGTGAGTGAGTTCTCATGAGAACTGGTTATTTGAAAGTGTGTTAAACCTCCCCCTTCGGTCTCTCTTCCTCATTCTCTGGCCCTGTAAGACATGCCTGCTTCCCCTTCACCTCCCAGCCATGCTTTCTGTACAGCCTGCAGAACTGTGTGTCAATTAAATCTGTCTTCTTTATAAACTAACCAGTCTCAGGTAGTTCTTTGTAGCAGTGTGATAACAGACTAATATAGAAAATTGGTGCCAGAGAAGTGGGACATTGCAATACAGATACCTGAAAATGTGGAACCAACTTTGGAACTAGGTAATGGGCAGAAGTCATTACAGTTTGGAGGGCTCAGAAGACAACAAGAAGTTAAGGGAAAGTTTGGAACTTCCTAGAGAGTTGTTGAATGGCTGTGACCAAAATGCTGATTGTAACATGGAAGTGAAGTCCAGGCTGAGGTGGTCCCAGATAGAGATGAGGAGCTTATTGGTAACTAAAGTAAGGGTCACTCTTGCTATGCTTTAACAAAAAGACTGGTGGCTTTGTGCCCCTGCTCTAGAGCTCTGTGGAATTTTGAACTTGAGAGAAATTATTTAGGGTATCTGGCAGAAGAAATTTCTAAACAGCAAAGTATTCAGGATGTGACCTGGCTGCTTCTAAAAGCCTATTCTCATTTGTATAAACAAAGAAATGACCTGAAACTAGAACTTATATTTAAAAGGAAAGCAGAACATAAAAGTTTGGAAATTTTGCAGCCTGATCATGCAGTGGAAAAGAGAAACCCATTTTCTGGGGAGGAATTTAAAGCTGCATAAATTTGCATAAAGAAGAGCCAAACATTAATAGCTAATAGCCAAGACAATGGGGGAAATATTTCCAAGGCATTTCAGAGACCTTCACAGCAGCCCCTCCCACCTCAGGCCTAGAGGCCTAGGAGGGAAAAATGGTTTCCTGGGCCATACCCAGGGCCCTGCTGCTCTCTACAGCCTTGGGACGTGGTGCCCTGCATCCCATCACTCCAGCTCCAGCCATGGCTAAAAGGGGCCAAAGTACAGCTCCAACCATTGCTTCAGAAGGTGCAAGCCCCAAGCTTTGGTGGCTTCTACATGGCATTGGGCCTGTATGTATGCAGAAGGCAAGAGTTGAAGTTTGGGAGCCTCCACCTAGATTTCAGAGGATGTATGGAAATGCCTGGATGTTCAGGCAGAAGTCTGCTGCAGGGGCAGAGCCCTCATGGAGCTACCAGGAAAGTACAGAGGGGAAAGATTGGGTCTGAGCCCCCACACAGAGTCCCTAATGGGGCACTGCCTAGTGGAGCTGTGAGAGGAGAGCCATGGTCTTCTAGACCCCAGAATGGTAGATCCACCAACAGCTTGAACCATATGCCTGGAAAAGCCACAGCACTCAACACTAGCCCATGAAAGCAGCTGTGGGGGCTGTCCCTTGTGAAGCCACAGAGGCAGAGATTCCCAAGGCCTTGGGAACCCAACCCTTGCATCAATGTGGCCTGGATGTGAGACATGGAGTCAAAGGAGATTATTTTGGAGCTTTAAGATTTAATGACTTCCCTGCTGGATTTTGGACTTGTATGAGGCCTGTAGTCCCTTCGTTTTGACCAATTTCTCTCTTTTTTAATGGGGGCATTTACACAATGCCTGTAACCCCATTGTATCTTGGAAATAACTAACTTGTTTTCGATTTTACAGGTTCATAGGTAGAAGGGGCTTGTCTTGTCTCAGATGAAACTTAGGACTTGGGCTTTCGAGTTAATGCTAGAATAAGTTAAGACTTTGGGGGAATGTTAGGAAGGCATGATTGTGTTATAAAATATGAAAAGAACATGAGATCTGAGAGGGGCCAGAGGAGGTATGATATGGTTTGGCTTTTTGTCCACACCCAAATCTCATGTTGAATTGTAATTTCCAGTGTTGAAGGAGGGACTTGGTGGGAGCTGACTGAATTGTGGTAGTGGATTTCCCCCTTTCTGTTCTCATAATAGTGAGTTCTCATGAGATTTGACTGTTTAAAAGTGTGTAACACTTCCCTCTTTGCTTGCTCTTTCTCCTGCTTCACCACAGTAAGTTTACTTACTTCCCCTTCACCTGCCACCATGATTGTAAGTTTCCTGAGGCCTCTAGCCATGTTTCCTGTACAGTCTGCAGAACTGTGAGTTAATTAAAGCTCTTTCTTCATAAATTACCCAGTCTCAGTTAGTTCTTTATTACAGTCTGAAAATGGACTAATGTAGCCGGCCATATAGTCTCTGTTATAAACGCTCAACTCTGTCATTGCAGTATGAAATCATCTACTGACAATATATACATGAGTGTATCTGTGTTCTAAACAAATGCATTTAAAGTTATTTAAAATAGTTTTTTATAAGAATGGACACAGGTAGGATTCGGCACACAGGCCATAGTTTGCCAAGCCTGGTTTAGAGTACTGGGTTTCTCTCTCTTGGAACCTTTGATAATGATCATGATAATAATGGTAATAGCATCATGGATTCTAAACAGACTACATGGATTGTAATCCCAAGTCCATCACTTGCACAGTCCTGAGCAAGTTACTTAATATCTCTATGCTTCACTTCATAGACTCATTTTGAGGGTTAAGTGAATTAGTAAATGTAATGTACTTATAAACAGCATCTGAAACATCTGTTATATGTGTTAGCTGCTATTATCATTATCATTATGATTATTATCAAAGGTGCCAAGAAAGAGAAACCCAGTCCTGAGTCATTTGGGTCCCAGATCAAAATGAGCTAAAAGCCCTTAGTCCAGCCTATTGAGTTACCTGAGATAATAAATTCCCTTTTATACTTAAATCAATTTGAATTGATTTTCTGTCTTATAATTAAAGTCATCCCATCTGACTAAATGAAGGAAATCAAGGCAGGGATGACAATTCACCTAACACTTATAATGTAACTTCTCTCATTTCAGCACCCACCACAGAAATCAATCAATCACAGCATTCTCTCTCATTGAGCCCAGATAGGGCCTCAGACATGTTTTTCCCCCAAAACAGGACTCTGAGTAACTTCTACTATTCAATCAAAGTCAGACTATAAAATGAAACTTTTCTAACCCTGATTTGGGTCATGAATTCTAAGAGTTGATCCCTAGTAATATTAATGAGCTTTATAAACATCGTCCTAATATGTCTTTGTTGTAGATAAACAAATTTTCCAGAAAAACCTAGACATTCTTAAGTGTGTGGTCTCCTTTTCTAACTCCTCACTTGGGAGTCCCTATTCTATTTCAAATCCATATACTTTGCTGAAAAACCTGGGAGCTGTATTAGTTTATTCTCATGCTGCTATGAAGCAATACCTGAGACTGAGTAGTTTATAAAGAAGAGAGGTTTAATTGACTCATGGTTCTATATGGCTTGGAAGGCCTCAGTAAACTTACAATTATGGTGGAAGACACCTCTCTAGAGGGTGACAGGAGAGAGAATGAGTGCCTAGCAAAGGGGGAAGCCCCTTATAAAACTATCAGATCTCATGAGAACTCACTATCACAAGAACAGCATGGGGGAAAACTGTCCCCATGATTCAGTTATCTCCTACCAGGTCCCTTCCATGACACGTGAGGATTATAGGAACTACAATTCAAGAAGAGATTTGGGTGAG